AGCAGGCTCCGCAATGAGCTGGGTTTTTTTTTTTTTTTTAAAGATTTTATTTATTTGACAGAGAGAGACACAGCAAGAGAGGGAACACAAGCAGGGAGTGTGGGAGAGGGAGAAGCAGGCTTCCCACAGAGCAGGGAGCCCGATGTGGGGCTCGATCCCAGGACCCTGAGATCATGACCTGAGCCGAAGGCAGTCGCTTAACTGACTCAGCCACTCAGGCGCCCCTCATTTTATCAATATCTTTATACTTAAAACTTGTTTTGTCTTTTTTTAAAAATATTTTTATTTATTTATTTGACACAGAGAGACAGTGAGAGAGGGAACACAAGCAGGGGGATTGGGAGAGGGAGAAGCAGGCTTCCCACTGAGCAGGGAGCCCGACGTGGGGCTCGATCCCAGGACCCTGGGATCATGACCCTAGCCAAAGGCAGACGCCTAACGACTGAGCCACCCAGGTGCCCTGAATTGTATACTTTAAATAAGTGAATTGTATGGTACATGAATTATATCTCAATAAAACTGTTTTTTTAAACAAATGGATTACCTTACCTGGGATCAATGCCCTCTTGGGGTGACATCTTAACCTGACCAGGCCCTTGCCGATCTGCTGGCCCCAATGCCCATCTGACTTTCTCCCCTCATCCCTCAAATCACTTGGGCCACTTAGCCATTCCTCCAGTGTACCAAGGACACCTCCACCTCAGGGTCTTTGCACATGCTATAACCCCTACATGGAGCTCTTCCCTCTGCACTGTCCACTCCTACTTCCTTCAGCTCTCTCCCCAAATGCCATTTGAGACACCTTCCTTAACCAATAAAATAGCAGATACACAACCCCATCACTTTCTGTTCCTTATCTTGCTTTATTTTCTTCTTAGCACATTTCACCATCTGAATATTACAATTTTTTTTAAATCCTCTGTCTCCTCCAACTGGGAGCTTAACATTGAGAGAGGAGGGACTTTGTTTTAGTTCTCAGCCCCTAAAATAACACCTGGTCATGGTAGGTGCTTAAGTAGTATTTGTTGCGACAATGAAGAGCTGCAAAGTATTCCAGTTTATGGGTGCTACATAATGTCTTTAACCAGTTTTTACTACTGTTAACAATGCTGCGATGAATACCCTTGTATTTAGGTCTCGAGTAAATGGTAGAGCAGGCCTATGGGACAAATTCTCACCAATGGAACTGATGCCTCAAAGGGCACGTGCATGTTTGGGCCTGATAGATATTGCGAGATGGCCCTCCAAAGAGGGCATCAACCAGCCTTTGGTTGAGCATCCCAGTGAGATAGAGAAACTGAAGGGACCCCATGAAGGACTGCCTTTTTTGCTCCTTTTCCTGCTTCTATTCTTGCTCGGACCTGCACCTACACATGCCTTATAGAACAGATCATGTATGTCCTCCTTGTAAAGGTCAGGGAGTTAATTTCTTTGGAGTCTCCCAGCACAACCGATAACATCTAAGGTGTGACTGGGCAAGGTCCTCATGTAAGTTTTCCAAGACCACTGATTCACAAAGACCCCTACCTCCAGGGCATAAGTGACTTAGAGAGGACACCTAAATACTCATCTTTGTTTTGACCAGTTCCTGGATGCCTGGGAAGACAGTCCTCGGTAAAAACCCCTAATCCCAAGCAAAGATGAGACTCTCGCCTTTCCTTTCCAGGTCTCCCTGTGCTCTCTCTACATCTTCAATAAACTCTGCTCTCACTTCCTCTCAGCTCATGTTTGATTTCTCTCCTGTGCACTTGGCTGGTACTGCGGGACCCCCTCTGGGTCCTCAGACCTGGCCGCCCTGCATTACCACCAACCATGTAGACTTTCCCTACACCCTAAGCAATAATGTGCCACCTTCTATCTTTGCCAATCTGAGAGGTGGAAAATACTGTGTCCTTCTACTTTTAATCTGTGTTTCTCTTTCTGAGTGAGGTTGATCATGGTTTAAAGCCATTTGCTGGATCTATCGATTCAGGGCAATCCCAGCCAACAATTGTTCTAATTTATCCCCTATTAGTGAACCTACCTGTTGTTCCAATAGCTCAAGTTTTAAAAATAAAACTCCAGGGGCGCCTGGGTGGCTCAGTCATTAAGCATCTGCCTTTAGCTCAGGTCATGATCCCAGGGCCCTGGGATCGAGCCCTGCATCGGGCTCCCTGCTCCACGGGGAGTCTGCTTCTCCCTCTCCCACTCCCCCTGCTTGTGCTCTCTCTCTCTCGCTGTATCTCTCTCTGTCAAATAAATAAATAAAATCTTTTAAAAAATAAATAAAACTCCAACATATAACTCATACAGCTTGGCACACTTGTCTGGTGATCTCTTTAGCTAAAAGTGGAATTACTGGTTCAAAGAGTATGCCCATTTACATTTTGGGTGGATACTAATAGTCTTCCAAAGACTGTTTCAGTTTATTTCCACCAAGAAAGCATGAGTGCATTACACTGCCTAGGTTATAATCGTTTACGGTCCCACAACAGAGCATGAGAGGGCCTGGTTCCTGTACTCTTGATGCTTTGGATTTTCTTCATCTTTTTTTTTTTTTTCCCAAAAGCATGACCTGATGTGCAATAAAGGATCCACTCTGCCCAAAAAGAAGCCTCACCTTTGCTCTTGCTCCCAGGAGATGATCTCTAAGCCCTTGGAATGTCCCGCCTTAGAATGTTTTTCTTTACCTGGGGGCCTTAGACCACGCCAGAAAGTGTAACGATGTGATTTAGGCTTGACCACACGATGTCAGTTCAACCTCCGTAGAGGCTGGAGACTAAAGGTCAGCCACATGGGGAGTCCACCATGTCTATGTGACGGAGCCCCCAGTAAAGCCTCTGGACCCCAAGGCTTGGAGCGGCTTCCCTGTATGTTATCACCTGTCGTTGCTAGGAGATGTTAGCACCGTCCTTGACTCCACTGGAAGGGGACAACTGCAGCTCCGCGTGTGGAATTCTCTGGGACTCTGCCCCAGGAGCCTCTGCCCTTGGCTGACCTTAATATGTATCCTTTTGCTGTAATAAACCATAATCATGAGTGTAATGGCTTTGCTGAGTTCTCTGAGTCATTCTGGCAAATCAGTGAACTTGAAGTTAGCTTAAAGGTACCCTGAACTTGAACTTCTCCTTGCAAACTTTTGGTGGCCCACATTGGCCCCTGTGTCTGCTCTGTTCTGCCTGCCTTTGGGGGCCCACTACTGGTTCCTGTCCTTTCCCAACTGTAGCAATTTGAGCTCCTCCTCTATCTCATGGAGCTCTCGGAGACCCTCTGGGACATGGCCAGGGTGCACCCTCCCCTGCTGGTTTGAGACTTAAAATTTTGATGCATTAAAGTGCTAAGCTGGCCAGGCCACTCTTTAAAGTTGTGGATGACTGAAAACAGGCCACACTTCCAAAAGGAGGAGAATGGCAAAATAAATTATGGTACATCTACCAGATGGGATGTTACGCATCTCTTAAAAATAACCACCACGAGGACTGCAGCAATATATAAAAAAATGCCCACAACATTTAAAGTCAAACAAGCAGAATCCAAAGCTTTATCTGTGCCGCCTGGAACTGGGTAAAAATGTGCCTGCAAGTGAACAGAACTGGATGGATCATGGAAAAGAGCAGAAGTTGGTGGGGATGGTTTTCCTTTGTTCTGTCCTTCGTTGGTGGTAGTGCAATTGATTCAATAGAAGGAATGAGTTCAGAGCCTCCCAAGGAGAGAGATGGGATGCACTGAAGGGCTGTCGGGGAGGGGGCCTCGTGGCTCCTGCAATGCTCTGAACGTGAGCAGGCTGGGCGCCTTGCAGGGTCACGTCCAAGTGCTCCCGTGTCCCCCGAAGCTCACGGCTGACATCTGGACCCATGCTTCCCTCAGCGTGATACGTGTCCCCCCTAATTTCAACACAAGTGGCGTGCGTGTGTGTGTGTGTGTGTGTGTGTGTGCATGAGAGACGGTGGTCGGTTTTATTATGGTAAAATATGCCTAACATGAAATTTTCCATTGTAGCCATTTATTGAGTACAAGTCAGTGCACTAAGTACGTTCACATTGTTGGGCAACCATCACCACCATCCATCCAACAGAACTTTTTCATCTTCCCAAACTGAAACTCTGTCCCCATCAAACAACAGCCCATCAGATCCATAGAGAGAGAAAGTAGGATGGTGAGTGCCAGGGGCTGGGGACAGGGGCTGAGATTCTCTCTCTCTTTCTGCCCCTGCTACTCGTGCTTTCTCTCTCAAATAAATAAATCTTTTTTTAAAAATCTACCTTCAACTCCCTGATGAGTAAGGTAGAATTAAAAGGAAAAGGACTATGGATGGCCTGATCTTTCCCTCTCCTTCCACACCATCATTTTCAAGGCAGGTGCGTGGCTAAGACAGGGAGGTCACACAGTAGGAAAGACGGGACAGGGTTCCTTGGATTTTCATGGTTCTTAAACCACCTTTGCCTTGCTTTCTGCATTTGAAGCAAGTTCTGGTCAGAATGGAAAGCGTGGCCTCTCTGGGCTATCAGCATCCCTATCTATCAAGCATTAGCTATAACATGCTTATCTGATCCTAGCTTTGACACTCACTGAACTGCCACACACCATGGGTCCATCAGAGCATCAGGAATGTTCTTCAGCAAACTGGTGACAAACAATCACAGACATATTTATTTCAGGTATCTCTTTTGTTCACATGCGTGTTCCGTTGCCCCATGAAACCTCACCCAACACACACGACTTCAAAGAGAAAATTATTAAGAGTTTTGAAATGGTGAGCGCTGAGCATTCAACCAAATGTGGGACTCCTCTGAGCGTGGGGCCCTGCCCACTGCGCAGGTCGTGGTTGGTTTGTACCCCTCCTGGGAGCTTCCCCGGTGTATAATCTGAAATCAGCCCCTGTACTCGGAGGGGGAACCTGAAGAAAGAGGCAGGCTACTCCAGGCAGGTGGGTAACAGTTTTAATAAGCAAAGGGAACTTATATACGAGGTTTTCCCAGGCAGGAGCAAGACAAAATGGATCCTCGCACCACCTGCCAAATCTTAGAAGTTTATAAAGAGGCTCTAACTGTTTCAGTCACATATACCATGCAGGTGTTCTCAATGCACATCACTCTCTCAAGACTATGACCTCGGAGCAGCCTCTGGGAAAAGCAAAGGCAAGCGGAACCCGCATTCCAAGGGTGGGGGAGGGATGAGGAGCCTCCTCCGAGTGCCCGGTCCAGCCAGCTCATGGGTCAATCAACCGTCATGTTTTCTCGATGACATTCCTCAACAGTCACTCACCCACGAAGCCAACCCTACTCTGTTGATTCTTCTTAGAATGGGCAGCTTACGAATGCAGCGAGGAAGGAGACTGTGTTGGGAGGGAGGCAACAAGGAGGCTGGCTGGTCAAGGGCATTTCTTGACCAGCTGCCTCCTTGAACTATGACTGGTTCTATGGCACAATGGCATGTGAACACTTACAGAAAACCGATGGCACCCAGGGCAAGAGCCTATCTGCACTGGTCTGTGCGAAAGGAGAAACTGCAAAACATTTAAAAATGTCCATTGGGGATTCAATTCAAAGATCAGCCACCATGAGCAATGAATCACCTCTCACCGCCCGGAGGAGGAGACAAGAAGACATCATCCTGAAAAACTGAAAGGGTGACATCACTAAGTACCAGTGAAGATGTGGGGAAACAGGGACTCACCCCCTACTGGGGGGGTGTAGAAATTGCTTCATTCACTCCCAGAGCAACTGGCAATCCCCAGGGGCTGGAGGATGCTCACACCTCACACCCCAGAACTTGTGTTTCTAGACATATTCCAGAGAGAGCCTGTTGCATGGGGGGCCAGGAACAAGGTGCAAAGATGTTCATTGCAGCATTGTCTGTAATAGCAAAAAAAAATTAGAAACAATATAAAATGACCATACTTTTTAAAAACCAAAATGGAATATTAAGATAAAGGACTTATTTAAGGCAGTTAAAATGAACATTTATCAAGAACAAATCTCAACAGCATGTTGGGTTAAAAAAGGAATTTAAAAACTCTGCAGTGTGAAAATGTACATTTGAAAACACAAAAACAATACTCTTTATTGTTCACGTCTACTTACCAAGGCAGTGGAAGTATGAGAGCATGGACAGGGAGGACACAGGCCAACTTCAGGGTAAGGGTTGCATCCAGAGAGAGTAAGATCCAGGAGGGATGCAAAGGGATCTCTTAAAATAAGAACTGGAAACATGCAAAGCAACAATGTTAACACATTAATTCTGGGAAGGGGGGTGCACGGGTGTTTATTTTACTCCTTATAGTTTTCTGTAAGTTTGAGCCATTCCATAATTTTTAAAAATTGGAAAAAGGGGGCGCCTGGGTGGTGCAGTCAGTTAGGCGTCCCACTCTTGGTTTCAGCTCAGGTCATGATCTCAGGGTCATGGGATTGAGCCCCAGGACAGGCTCCGAGCTCAGCGGGGAGTCTGCTTGAGATCTCTCTCTCTCCCTCTGCCCCTCCTCCCACCCCCCCTCCCCGCACTAAATCGATAAATCTTAAAAAAAAAAAAAAAAGCAATGTTGAAAAGTTTCCCTTTTTGTTTTTCTCTCCTCCCCAGACTCACCATTTAAGCTGAGGCCTGGGGTGAGGTGGGGTGACAGGATTGGGGACGATGGGGTGGGTAATGAAAACTGGCGGGTGGCAGAGAGGTGAGACCCGCCACCTCCTTCGCGGATCCGCTTTGGCTCCGCCCCCGCCCAGCTGTATCCATGGCAACCAGGGTCAACGCTCCAAGCCGGGCTCCCGAGCGACACCTGGTGGTCTTTCTGGTGGCGCGCTCCGCGAGGGGTCTCCAGGTGTGAGTCAGAGGGGCCGCCTTGAGGGTCGCTCTTGAAAAATAAAGACCAGCGTTGTCCTGTTGCACTGGGTCCCTTGTAGCTGCCCTTAGGGCAGTGTTAATTCATTTCAGAAACGTCTTTCATTAAAGTTCGGCTGCAGCCATTAACCACCAAGTGTTTGGGAGGGTGTCTTGGGTGACCAGCGCTGCTCTGGGCATTTACAGGTATGTGTCTTCATGGGGACCCCCAGAGCTCGCGGTTACAAATTACTTAAAGACCCCTAAAACGTGCCAGTGTGGACTTCTAGATAACATACATCCATTCTTTTCTATACTTTTTATTTTTTTTAATTTGCTTTACTCTAAAAGTAACATGAATTTGTAGGAAGCTTGGAAAATCATCTCACCACCCACACAGAACCAGAACTAACATTTGGGCTTTATCCTTCTAGTATCGCTCTGCTCCATTCATTTTTGAGGGGTTGGTTTCTTACAAAATTGGAAATTCCCAGGCTCAGACAGGTAGACCCGGGTTACAAGCCCAGGTCCTCGGCTTACCTGTCACTTCAGGCAAATGAATGGACTCCTCTCTGTCTCAGTCTTCTGACCTGTAAAATGGGAATATGTTAACTGTACTTCATAAAGTCATTGGGAAATCTTCAATGATATCCTACAGATAGAACATCTAGCACAGTGCTGAATGCATAGTAAGCAATAGATCCTCAGCCATAGTGAAAATGACAGCAGAGCTTCGCACGGTATAATTACAATATTCTGCAACCCACTTTGCTCGCTTAAACATAGCATACACATTTTCCTGACTCAAAGGAAAAACTCAGTTTTTTTCCTTTCTACGTGGGGGAAAAACCCATTCTTCTCTACTCCGTCTTTCACCTGTGAGTCTCCTTTACTGCTCACAGAAAACACCGCACTGCTGATGATTCTGGTCACCAGATGTGTGGAGGTTTTTCCCACACCGAGCAACTCTCTGTGACACCAGCTGGGTGTCCTCCAATTTAACTCAATCCTGGCACCACCTTCCTGGAGATGGTGTTAGATCCCCCAGGGTTAAGGGCCCAACCCTTAAGTTAAAGGCACAAGACACCCTCTCTCCCCACTTCGGATGCTGGTCTCAAGTCCAGATTGTCTGTCCCTTGTGTTTCTGACCAGCTGGCTACCGACTGGAGGATCCAACGACTCCCTCCTTGGGTTTGATGAATTTGCTCAGAGTTCAGGGAAACACTTACTTATGTTTACCAGTTTATTAAAGGATATGGGTATTATTATATTATTAAAGGCTATTAAAGGCAAGGTCTGGAAGCTTCTGTCCCCGTGGAGTTGGGGTGTGTCACCCTCCCAGGGGCCTGGAAGATCCCAAAGCCCATACTATTGGGATTTTTATGGAGGTTTCCTTATGCAGGCGTGATCAATTATTTTTTTAAAGATTTATTTATTTTAGAGAAAGAGAGAGAGAGAGAGCAGGGGGAGGCGCAGAAGGAGAGGGAGAGGGAATCTCAAGCAGCAGACTCCGTGCTGAGGCAGAGCCCCATATGGGGCACAATCTCACAACCCTGACCCATCTCATGACCTGAGCCAAAATCAAGAGTAGGATGCTCAACCGACTGCACCACCCAGGTGCCCCAGGCATGATCAATTATTAACTCCATTTCCTGCCCCTCTCCTCTCTCTGGAGAGGTGGGGGGGGGAGGGCTGAAAATTCCAAGCTTGTAATAATGGCTTGGTTTTTTCTGGTGACCAGCCCCCATCCAGGACCCCACCCAGGGTCACCTTATTAGAGCAAAAACGCTCCTGTGCTCTTATCACTTAGAAATTTACAAGGGGGACACCTGGGTGGCTCATTCAGTTAAGCGTCTGCCTTCAGCTCAGGTCATGATCCCGGGGTTCTGGGATCGAGCCCCGCATCGGGCTCCCTGCTCCGCGGAAAGCCTACTCCTCCCTCTGCCTCTACCTCTCACTCAGCCCCTTTCCCTGCTTGTGCTCTCTTGCTGTCTCTCTCAAATAAATAAATAATAAAATCTTAAAAATAAAAAACCAGAAATTTACAAGAGGTTTAGGAGCCCTGTGTCAGGGACATGGTCAAAGACAAATAACGGACCAGAGATGCTCTCAGGAAATTAGAAGCTCTGTGCCAGGAATCGGGGGGCAGAGACCAATATGTATTTTCTATTCTCCATTATGTGTGTGTGTGTGTGTGTGTGTGTGTGTGTGTAACCTCAGTATTATCTAAGAATAGGATCCTTAACGATCACATGATGTTTCAACATACAAACGTATCCAATAACTTACTTAACCAATTCTCCACCTTTGGATTCGAGGAGTTCCTGATTTTTTTCCTTTTATAAACAATGTCACACAGACGATTCCTTATTAGTTGCTTCCTCCACGGATGATTCATTTGCTTGTGTGTTCCAGGAAGGCCTTCCCCTCCCCCAGGATGAAATAAACATTTTCCTAAGTGTGTTTAGTTCCTTTATGGCCCCCGATTTTTAATTCAATTCTTTAATCCATCCGGAATGTATTTTGATACCACAAAGTGAGAGCTAAGAAGTCTCATTTTGTTTTCATTCACAATAACCTCACCAACTGCCCCAGCACCGTCGATCAGGGCATCCAGTATCTCCTCGCTGACTCGTTGGACCCCCTTTATTAGATTCCAAACTCATCTCCGTCCTGGCTCTCTGGTGGGCTCGTTGCTCTGGCTCCTTCTAGCTCCTTGAGCTATTGGGCATCCTTTTGTTGAGTCCCAGGGAAGCTCAAGCATTCAGCACAAGCCAGCAGTTTCAGACAGGAGGAGCCAAGCCTCCAGCTCTTCTCCAGCCCGTGTTGACTGTCTTTGCTATCCCTTCCCCACCATGAACAATCCTGTTACTGTCAAGCCCAAAACTCACCTCCCGTGCGCTCAGCAGCTTCCCTCCATGGTCATATCTATACTTGGAAATCTCTCAGCACTTCTGTATTCAGCCTCTTCATGCACGGCAGATTGTGTTTTCCAAAGATGGCCTCACCAATGTATTTATCCATCCTACGTACTCTTGTTAAAAAAGTTGACTGACTTGCCTCCCCCTGAGAAGTGGCGTCTGTGCTCTCCCGTGAATCTGGACCTTCTAGCTGCTCCAGTCAATGGAGCATAGCCAGAGCGATGCTATGTGATCTCTGGGATGAGGTCGTAAAAAGATACAGCTTCTTCCTGGCTTGCTCGTGTGCATTCTCTCTCTCTCTCTCTCTCTTTCTCAGTGCTTGCCTTTGGAAACCAGCCACCATTTTTTGAGAAAGCCCAGGCCCCATGAAGGTGTTCTAGCTAAGATTTCAGGAGCTCCAGCCACTGTCAACTGCCCCACATGTGAGTGAATGATGTGATTGCAGCCTCAGGCTTTCATCCTTCCAGAATTCTAGCTGAGGACTCAGACATTAAGAAGTAAAGATAAGATAACGGGGTAAGGGGAGGACAGGAAATTACTGTTTACGGGTACAAAGTTTCTGTTTGGGATGGTGAAAAAGTTCTGGAATTGGAGAGCGGTGATGGCCGCACATCATTGTGAAGGTGTTCGATGCCACTGAACGGTATACTTAAAACGGTTAAAATGATAAACGTTACTTTATGTGTATTTTACCACAATAAAAAAAATATTAAAGAAAAGAAAGTCCAGAAAACAAAGACAAGCCATCCCTACTTTTCCCTCTTGAAATTCCTGAGCCACAGAAATCAACCCCAAATCTAAGTTTTGAGGTAATTTTGTTAACGCAGCAATAGCTAACTAATACCCACGCGCTCTCCTGCCTTGCAGGAAACCCTGGGGGAAAAAACATGTACCTTTTCAGAAATAAATGATAAACTTTCAGGGGCGCCTGGGTGACTCAGTTGGTTAAGTATCTGACTCTTGATTTTGGTTCAGGTCATGATCTCAGGGTCGTGAGATCAAGCCGCACGTTGGGCTCCATGCTCAGTGTGGTCGGCTTGGGATTCTCTCTCTCCCTCTCCCACTACCCCTCCCCCTGCTTGCTCTCTCTCTCTCTTAAAAGAAATAAAATCTTTTTTTTTTTTTTAATGGTAAGTTTTCAGGGCAGAGCCTCTCCCCACAGCACCTAAAATACTGCTCAGAGCACAGCAGGTGCTCAGAAAATGTTTATAGACTTGCACTGAATGCTCTAAGCTACAGACGTGATCTTCGATTCTTCAACAGTGCTTAAGGTTACAACCGCTATCAGAGACATGACAAAGCTCAGCCTATTGAACTCACACTCACTGGACACCCTTGTTACCAGGCCCATCATATCCATTACGGTGAAGTCCCCGGGCTCTGGAGGTGGGCAAATGCGGGTCCAAATCATACCGCTATAGTTTCCAGCAGTGTGGTCTGGGACAAGTTACTTGATCTCACTGGGGCTCCGTTTCCTGAACCATAACACGGGTACGACAGAACAACTTCAGAGAGATGTATGAGGATTAAACACCATAAAGTCACAATGAATCACGAGCAAACATTAGGCACGCATTCAGTGCTCGAGAAATGTTGGCTCTGTCTCATCTACTCCTCCTGCCAGTTCAGCAACACATATGCAGACTTACTTGCATTTTACTGATGAGGAAAGAAGCTTTGGAAAGTGAGGCCACCCGCCTAGGAAGGCAGGAGTGGCGACGGGATGGAGTCCGGGTTGCTCAGGTTGCCACCGCCACTGCAGAAGGGAATTTTCTCAGAGTTCAGGGGGTTAGAAGTCAGAGATCAAGGTGTCAGCCGCTCTGGGTCCTTCTAGGCCTCTGTCCTCGACTTGCAGATGCTGTCTTCTTCCCGTGTCCTCGCGTGGGCCTCCCTCTGTGCGTGTCTCATCCCCTCTTCTTCTTCTTCTTCTTTTTTTAAAGATTTTATTTATTTACTTGAGAGAGGGAGAGAGAGCATAAGCAGGGGGAGCAGGCAGAGGGAGAAGCAGGCTCCCTGTTGAGCAGGGAGTCCGATGCGGGGCTCGATCCCAGCACCCTGGGATCATGACCGGAGCCGAAGGCAGATGCTTAACCGACTGAGCCACCCAGGGGCCCCTCTCATCCCCTCTTCTTATAAGGACATGAATCATGATGGATTGGGACCCGCACATACGACCTTCTCTAACTTAACCACCTCTGTAAAGACCCTATCTCCCCAAACAGCCTCATTCTGAGGTAGTAGGTTTGGGGATTCCCCCACATGAATTTGGGGGGCGGGGAGGACACCGTTCAGCCCACGGCAGCTCCCTTCCTGTTCTTCTGAAACAAGTGGAGGTGAAGGTCTGTGCTGGGACCTCGGCCCCTGCATCTCCTGGGTCGAGGGCTGCGTGTCGGGACCGGGAGGAGACACCCCGTCAGTGAGGTCCGTTCAGGGAGAGCGGCCTGTTCCACGGCAGGCGAGGCTGCCAGACTTCACAGCCACCCTCACAGCCTTGGCAGGACTGGAAAGTGCCAAACCGCGTGGAGCAATGAATTGTTCAGACGGGCCCAGGCGCCAGCGCTCACCTCCACACAGAGACCCAGGAGAGGGGAAAAACTATCTGTTGGCTAAATGGAAAAGAACAAACCTTCCATGAACAACTCCCTGGGGGTTGAGGGCTGAGAAGAGGTGGGGAGGTGGCTAGTCAGTAAAAATTTCCATCTGTGGCAGCTGTCAAAATCCACCGGGATATCCTGGCGGGAGGAGGCAGACAATCCGTAAACAGTAACAAGCAAGATGGTTTCAAATGAGGACAGTGGGCCGTGAAGAAGGTGAAACCGTGTGAAGTATAAGGGGGGTGATGGGAGGTCCCCCTTTACAAAGGATGATGGGGACGGTCTCTTTGAGGAAGTGGCATTTGAGCAGAAGCCTGAAAGACAAGAAGGGTTAGGTTATGGAAAGATCTAGAGCCGGGTTTCTCCATCTCGGCACTGCGGGCATTTGGGGCGGGATAATTCTTTGCTGTAGGGGGCTGCCTTGTGCGGGGTGGGGTGGAGGTAATGAGCAGCCTCCTTGGCCTCTACTCACTAGATGCCGGTAGCATCTCCTCATGCACCAACCCCCCCAAGCTGTGAAAACCAAAAACATCTCTAGACACCCCCAAGAGTCCCCTGGGAGGCAGAGTCACCCCGTGGAGAGCCACTGATCCAGAAGAAGGGCGTTTCAGGGAGAGGGAATGATCAACATGAAGGTGCTGAGGTGGGAACAGGCTCAGGCAGGTTTCCTGGGCACAGAAGTTCCCAGAAACGAAAGTTTTCAAGGATGTGACGGTTCATGGGTGGAGTCCAGGGAGGGACGAGGGTGGGGAGGTAGATAGGGGCCGGACCCCTGGGAGCCTGACGCTGGGGGAAGGCGGGGAGGAACTCCATGTGACCTGAAACTTCCCCCCAGCTGCTGGGGTAGGCAGTGGGGGCGCAGATCAGGACAGGATGACGAATGTGCCGTTTCCTGCGGCTGCTGTAACAAACTATGAACTTGGTGGCTTGAAACAGCAGGAATCTATTCCCTTATTCTGGGGGCCAGAAGTCCAAAATCAGAAGGTTCTAGGGGAAGACGCTTCCTTGCACCCTCCAGCTTCCGGTGGACCCAGGCATCCCTCAGCTTTCCATTGTCTGCCTCTGTCTTTATGTGGCTCTGCCCTATGTCTCTCTCTTATTTTATTTTAAAGATTTTTATATATTTATTTGATGGGGGTGGGAGGGGGAAGCAGACTCCCCACTGAGCAGGGAGCCCGATGCGGGACTCGATCCCAGGATCCTGGGATCTGACCTGAGCCGAAGGCAGACGCTTAACCGACAGAGCCACCCAGGCATCCTTTCTCTACTCTTCTTATAAGGTCATCTGTCATTGGATTTAAGTCCTGCCCTCAATCTCGGAAGATTTCAGCATGAGATCCTTAACTAAATGACGTTTGCAAAGACCCTATTTCCAAATAAGGTCAGAGTCTGAGGTTCTGGGTGGATGAATGAGGTTCTGGGTGAATTTTGGGGGACACCGCGGAGCTCACCACAGCCAGCAAGGAGGAGGCAGAGTGGGCTGTGGCCATCTCCAGGCAGGGACTGGTGGGGCCTGGACCACGGGGGCTCCAAGGAGATGGAGTTTCGGGGGTGGGCCGGGTGGCTCACACAGCAGTCATCCCCACAATCTGACCCGCTGTGCCCATGTTTGGCATATAGGTCCCAGGGCTGGTCCCCCAACAGCTCCCCACTGCAGGAAGGAGTCAGGCCAGACAGGGCCAGCATCTAGCCTTCCCCAGCGCTGTGGCCACCCTTCTCCCCTTTCGGATGTCTGGCGCTAGTTCGGGGGCTCCCCTCCACTCCTCCATCCTGCTGGGATTCTCTTGCGCTCAGAAGTTTCTGAGAAAGCACCATTTAGTCTCTGGCTCTTGCCTTCCTCCTAAAGCTCTCACACGTGAACACTTTCCTCCAAGAACAGAGATTAGCAGCCTTTATCTCTGGGCCAAGGGCAAAATAGGAGAACGTCCCTGGCTTTCCTCTGCAGGCAGGCCTCATCAGCACAGGGTTGGGCTTGTTTTTCAGGTTTCAGTCAATGGAGCACTTTTGTTCTCTGCAGAAACATAACCAAGCGCTTGGGTCCGCCGTCCTATTGCCGGGGTATTGGGCGTTGCGGGACCCATAGGCCCAGGTGTTCTTGGCGTGCCCCTCCCCCCACACCCTGGGAGTGGGGCCTCAGGAAGTTTCCACCAACAGGAAGTCTAGCTCCCACCCTCTCAGGGTGGTAATTAGGGCTTGCAGTGGGCGGGGGGCCACGCGGGCAGGCCTGGGGGTGAAGATGTGGGAGTCAGGGTAGGGCTGGAGAAGGGATTGGACAGGGGTAGGAGGAGGGCCTTGTTCCCCATGGCACCCTGGAATGGCCATGTTTGTGAGAAATCAATCATGTTACTGTGGACAGTTCAGTGGCCCTTACATTCACGGTGTCCTGCTACGACCACTTCTGTCTACTTTCAAACGTTTCCATTATCCCAAAGGAGACCCCATACCCATTAAGCAGTCCCTCCCTGCTCCCCTCCCCCAGCCCCTGGTTTGCACCAGTTGGTCCGCGTGTTATGAGGGATGTTCCTTCCTCCTCTGCCTCTTGCGGGGCTCACATGAAAACTAGGAGCTAAGAAAGAGTAATCCCAGCCTCTGGCCATTGCTTTCGGGGGGTGCCGTGGGCCCCGCATA